AAATTGNTGCTTNNGAATTAAAAATNGTTTTTATTACTTTCANATTGTCTTGCGTTAAAAAAAATATTTCAAAAGAGTAATTATATTTGTTGTTATAAACTTGGGAAGTTATTTTATATATGTACACGTGTCAACTTAAAAAGTATAATAATTTAATACATTAGAGTTAAAAAAAAACATGTTAACCTTGGGTTGTCAAATACCTTAAGTAGAATTTAAAATACAAATAAATTATTTAATATTTTAAAACATTAAAATATATAATCATAAATTTTTTAAATAAAACATGGATTAAAAAAAATTGTTGCTTACGAATAAAAAAATATTTTTATTACTTTCAAATTGTCTTGTGTAAAAAAAGTTCAAAGTCTCTTTTAAAAATTGGGAATTTTGGAAATTTGTTTTGTTATAAACTTGGAAAAAATTTTAACAGACATATCAAAGTTTTTTTAAGAAATTTGGTAAGTCTTTATTATTATTTTCAAAAGAATATATATTCTATAAAAATGTTCTATAATTTTATTTTTTACAATAATCAATTCCTAAACTATTTTTAAATGAGAAACCAAATTTTTATATAACTTTAGAATAAAAACGAAAATATGATAATATATTGATTAAAAACTCTCTTTTACCTTTTGATGGAAATTCCATTTTGAAGAAAATAAAAAAATCAAGAAAATCGGAAAATCAGTTTGAGAGCTTATTAGATTGATATCAAAAAAAAATTGGCTGTGATCCCTTATATATAGTGAAGATTATGTTTAGTTGTGTTTGTTGGCCGATTTTCTTATTGTATTTGGGCTAATTTAGTTAGGATTAATGGGCTAAATTGATGGATAATGTCATGTCACAATTTTTTGTATGTCATGTCACATTAAAATTGTGAGAATAAATTTGGTAAGGACATATCTCTTTTCAAAAAATTGCTCTCCAATTAACATATAAAGGATATTGTAGCTTTTTACCCATATTTCGATTGGTTGAAGTATACTCTGAAACTTTAATATTTTTTTTATTTAAGTTTTCTTAAGATTATGTACATACTCGAGAGATTTTAGAAAACTTATGGTGAAGTATACTCTGAAACTTTTAAATTTTCTTTTTAGGTTCCTTTACGTAATTCCGATATATTTCTTATGGTGACCATTAAATTAGTCAAGTAAATTCTAAATTTTTGGTCTTTTCAACGCATGGAAAGGAACTGCATGGAGAAAATATTAAATAGTCGACATTTCGTTCAATCACATTGATAAATCATCTGAAAATTGATCCATAAACATTAAAAATTATCAACTAAATGACGAATGTTGCCAACAAAACACCTACCGAGGATCAGAGAACGAAAACTTGGCATGAGCTAGAGAGTCTTGGAATGGTAATGAGTTTCTTGAGGATGACAGATTGTTCCTTCTCTCTCAAATTACCTAAACACAGTGTGAGCTTCTTGAGGATTGTCGAGTTCTGTAGAAAGTAACTTACCAATTTCTCTGTTGCCTCCTCTGCCATTGGCTGTACAATCTTAACATACTCGAGAGATTTTAGAAACCGCCGAGGTCCATGCAAAGTACTAGCCGCATCCTCCTCCCATATACATGTACTAAATCCCTGCAAGTGGCACATGAAACTTAAGTATGTGACACTTTCACCATTTGCATTAGTAAGAAAAGAAGTTTATGGTTTCAGTAGTCAAATACTAACCAAGGTAAGAGATTTTAGATTCGGGCAGCTCTTGAGAAAGATTGGTAACATTTCCCACTTGTTGTTAGTGAATTCAACACGCAAGAAAGATAGGTTACGGAATAAGGGTAGTGGTTCACATCTTGAGAAATAACTTATGACCTGTTTAG